TAAAAATATAAAATAACAATAGATGGTCAAATAAGTGAGAAAAGATATATGGATAGCCACGACTTTCTCTGCGATTTGCATGTTTTACAGCAAACTTACCGGTACTTAAAATTGTGTCATGACTTTATCATACTTTTCAGGTGAACTTTTTGAATAGTGTTATTGTGGATATACAGAAGAAAAATGAAGAATTACAAGCAAGGCTAGATGCAATCGATGAAAGTGGAATTAATGGAGATGATGATTATGAGTTTGATTATGAGTAAGTAGTAACTATCTATCATTCATAATTGTTGGTAGATTCTTTATATACAGATTTTGCATTCTTTAATTTTGTCACAGGTGGACCCAATGTGCATAATGATCAAACTTAAAAAAATCGTATAGCCTAAAATCCAAACAGTAACATTGTGTTCAAGGCAGCTCAATGGCATTATGTCTGTCACATTGGCTGTTGTGTGAGCTCTGATTTTGAACCCAACCATTGTGGTTTCTTCTCGGCACAGTGAACTTGGGACAGTGTTACTCATTCGATGTTATATGATCTGTACAAAACTTCTAGGACAAGTGTTGAGAACAGAGATTTGACATTGCAGACTCAGAAGCAAGACATTTAGCATATACAAGTCCTGCAATGGTGCATTTTGGTTGGTCAAGAAAGAAATTTACATGATTTAGTTGTTTTATTCTATCCTATTTTATAGTGATATGGGTAGAAGAATGCCAGCACCTCGGTTATTTTGTGATATCTGTGATGAATTTGATCTACATGATACAGATGATTGTCCACAGCAAACTATGTCAGATAGTCCACCACCAACACAGTATCATGGAAATAGAAGTCAAGAAAGACCATACTGTGATTCATGTGAAAGTCAGTATACAACTATATTCTTCATTATAAGTTTTTGACTGTGCTCGGAGAGAAAAATGTCTGTCATTGTTATCACTATTGTTGTCATCACCATTGTTGTCATCATCGTTGTTGATGTTTCCATTGTTGTCGCCATCCATGTCATTAATTTAATTCTTGTGGCTACAATAACTGGTTTCAAATTTGGATTTGTTGTTAATCCGTATTACTAAGTTCAATTTTGGTGTGATTTGCACAGTTGGAATAAGACCCTACTATGATTTTTATGTGAAAGTTTGTATAAGATTGTTGAATTCTTGAAGTCTTGATTTCGACAACTCATGTTGATATCTTGCATGTGATGTGAATATCCCAAAGTTTTAATCAAAAATATACTATTATTATACATCTGTCACCTTAACACCATAAGTTACAGCGTGCCGTAATTTTGCGATATTGCCCTGGGTATTTTCATTCTTTGATGGCAGTTCATGCAAATAACAATTATTATACATCTGTCACTGTAACGCCACAAGTTACAGCGTGCCATAATTTTGCAATATTTTACGTGGTATTTTCATCCTACCATATAAGGAAATGTGAATTCCAAATATTGAATGATTACGTGCGCAAGTGTCCTCTAATAATAAAAACAAACATGGCTGCCACCAGGGTTTGACTCCACACAAAGAAGTTCGCTGATTCTGATTTTGGATTTCGGCATTCCCATGATGTATCCTTGGAAGGAAAAGATGTATAATAAGATTATTACGAGGATACCTCAAAGTATGCACTCAGACAGTACACAGTCACATCGTAATAACCTCATATTATTTCTTTACAGTGTTTGGTCATTGGACAGACGAATGTGATGATGACCAGACTTACTAGACGCTGAATGACAAGTTCACAGTCAAATTTTGAGGTGGATGTGCATCGGAAATGTCAGTTGCTTATAACTGACATGTGAAAGTCTTTGGTATACTTCAAATCTAAGTATAAGAAAAAAAAAAGATCAGTGGAGTGTTAGCTGGTAATGAACTGTAATACCTGAATGAGTAATGAACCGTGAAAGTGGTAAAGATGTGCTATTAAACTATAAAGACTTAAATAGCCCTGTACGCCACCGAAACATTCAAAGTAAAATGTACGCGGTCATCAGTGTGTTCGCCCAATCAAGTTGCTGCTGTATCTTTTGAAAAGTAGAATGTCTTGCAAACTATATGGACTTGATGATGTATGAAGTTTATATTTACATATATTCTGATCTCTTTTGTAATGGGATTCTATCACACAGCCTACCTGTCTGTCTGTTACTTCTCTGACATAATTCTCACTCTGTTATACCTACTAGGTTTTTGAATAAAACCGCACTTATTGTTTGTTCAAAATTGTCAGGTATCAAAAAATGTGCTAAATATGACTAAACACAATGCCAGTTTTTACATTCTTAGTGTTTTAACAATAAACTGTAATATACAATTGTTTATTTCAAATTCTTGTACTGATGTTACATGTACTTGTGCAATTCAAATTTGCCCCACCGTCAATGAGTACTAATATCAAATAGTCCAAAATGTACACTTGCATCTGTTGATGTTAGTGAAACCACATGTGCCCCACCGTCAATGAGTACTAATATCGAATAGTCCAAAATGTACACTTTTATCTGTTGATGTTAGTGAAACCACATGTGCAACTATTTTGAAAAAAAAATAGGCTTCAATTGTATTTACCATTTGTAGTGTCCTGGTTCTCAATATTCATATTACTAGATCCCTTTAGGTGAAATATCCTAGTACAGATTCATAATTACTTAAAAGCGCAATCACTTTATGGTAATAATTAAGGTATTTACAAGCATTCTGCGAAGTATGCACAAAGACAGTTTGATGATTGCTGCCCGAGTGCTTACTTTGCGATATTTGCATGACAACCTTATTATCATACGTCTTTTCTGTGCTTGTAGTAATAATTTAATGAGATAACAGTCCGAAATGTTTTGCACTGTGCAAATGTTTGCATTCAATGACAGGCTTCTATTTCTATTGCACACTGATAGAGCTTCTGCATCTGAAGTACTGTAGAATACTTTATTTTCACTTGGAATTTATTTTCACTATTTTGGCTGAAAGGATGATTTCGTGAAAATAAAATCCAGCGAATATACTTTTTTTCCTATATTTCACATTAAACTTATCAAAAATCAGTGAAAATAAATTCCATACAAAATTGCCAAAAAGCCTTTTCAGCGAAAATAAAGTATTCCACAGTATTATTTGGCGTAAACATGGCACACATTTTCAAACATTTGAACATGTTCATAACACCTTTGAACTCGTTTGTACAGCCTTTTATGGATGGGTAAATTTATTAAATATCGGTAATGGAAATTATTGCTTGTATGTCAAAAATATCCTCCCCCCAAAAATGCCAGGATGTAGGGGGTCATGCAGCAGGCCAATGAGTATGTCTCTCAGTCTTTATAGTTATTTCAACTGACTATAAACTAACTAAAAGCTATTTAATGTGACTGTACTTCCTGATTTATGGATGAAGTCATTCATTTACAAGCTGGTTTTTTTTCTAGACATTTTCTAGCTGCATATAACTGAAATAAACTCTATTCTTGCTGTATATATTATTTTTTATATTGCTCAAAATGTATGTTAAATGGTTTTATAATCCTTGCATACGTCTCGTCTTAATGTTACTTACAACGCTGTACCTGATAGGTGTTATGGTTGAGTAGCCAAACAGTCAGACCAATCAGAAGGCATCTTGTTTGTTGACAGGTTTTTTGGATGAATCTAATTTTGTCTTGTATATATGCTTTGACTTAACTCTGTCGCGAGTTGTACTGGTAACTGTCAAAGCTATTTATACAACCTTGTTTGCACATGCTATGTTGAAGATAAGTGGTTTCTGCAGGCTCTGTTCGATATACCGTAGTTGATTTATGCAAGCTTGTAAAAAAATAAATGCGGTAATAATAAACTATGCACACAAATACATTACAACGTATCTCAGTTAATTTCATTTGAATCGATCAATCTATGTATACTGCTATGAATTTTTTTCCCGTCATTTTCCTTCCATGAATTCATGCATACAACTCTGCACATCGGGTTAGCTTCATTTGTCTTGACAAGGTAAATTTGTAAGGGTAATTTCCTAATCAAGTTTAATTTGACTTCAAAAATGTTGGTATTCTACTAGAAGTATAACTAAAAACTGAATAAAAACATGTGTATAACATTTTGGGATTGGTTTCTTCAAAGTTGTATAGTATTCCTTCATCTCTGTTTGTATGCCACAATATGTTTAATAAAAGTCCTTTATGACATAAATTTGTTGACGCAACTGTGGTCCTTCAAGCGAAGGAGTTGACTTCTAGAGTGATGACTTAGTGACTGAGGCTTTGTAGATGAGACTCGACACAGAATGTATTACCATTTTTGCTATATTAGTAGCGTGTATGCACTTATGTGAATTCACACAGGTGTTTTGGTCAAAATAAGAATATTTTAATCTTATACAACTACTGCAATGTTTACACACGCTTCTAATAAAGCAAATATGATAATTTGAATTCTCAACCTTGTACAGTAGATGTGCAAAGAGTCTAAGTAGAATCTGCTGATGTAATGACTGTAGTGTATAATTGTTTTCTTTTTTATCTGTACAATATAAAGGATATATTGAATAATAATATGCTAATAACAGCACAACTTAAATATGTATATGCCATTTTTGTATTGACATGAATTCTGTTTATATTAATTTAGGAATTACAGCAATGAAGTTATTGTACAATTTGAATTTCCATGCTGAAAAGAATTTATTCTTTTGTATGATTTTCAGCTTGGTTTTTGTATTGTATTTTTGATTGTGATTTACAGTTGAAAACATTTAATATATGCACGTTTATTGTACCATGTTTTCATGTGTGGTGTTTTTTTTCATTTAATTTTCACAAAACTTGGTGCAGTTCAAGTTTAGTATTGCTGACTCGTATATGAAAATGTGTCTCGCTAGCTTAAACAGGAGTTGGTAATCAAATGTAACAGATGCATGTAAATATGAAACCAGTACTGTAATTGGATACTGACAAAATTACAAGATTTGAATTTTCAAGCTAAGCTGAAGAAAGCGTATGCTAATATAATCACTATTTGATAAAGAAAACGTTTATGATGGGAAGATGTCTGTCCTCTGCCTTGTTTTTGGATTAAACTCTTGTTTCTTGTGGCAATAACTTAATTTAATAATATATTTAAATTCCAAAATAATTATTTGTGACTTCATTGTTTTTGTAAAAAAATGATTTCAATGAAATTCAAAAAATGAGAAAAATTTATCCTTATGCATATATTTTACATGACTACCTCCCACATCATGTTAGATGTATATATAATTCATGAAAGTAGCAAATTTATTTTTAGTTGTGGGCCTCTATGAGGCCAAAAAAACTTGTATTGCTCTCAAGTCGGAAAATTGGGTCTGTGGGTCGGTCGGTTGGATTTTTTTCCAGAGAAATACAGATCAACCCAAGGTTCAAAGTCGCCACTTATCCCCCCCCCCCGGGGACCCTGGGGATCAAACAACTGTCCGGGATCGTTAATTTTTAGAGGAAACTTCTTTACTGATTAAAATGGTGAGTTTTTAATATTTGGGCCTATTAAGGAGACACGATATTTCGGACGCTGAGGGCAACAAACAATTTTTTGTTGTTGGCCTGATGTGTTGTCTCGGGAACACACAAAACATCAAAGAAACCGCCATTTTCAGTTATACGCAGCACTACTTTTTACATATCAATACACTCGAGTGATTAGGTGACATATAACACCATTACAAAAGTATAAAGTGCAATAAGGTAGTCCCAAAAACGTCAGTCTACATTCCTCATTTTATAGCTTTGACAGCATATTCAATTATTACCATAAAATCTACGTTTTTGAGAAGGAGTGTTGTACTAAATCATGACTACAATGGGAAACAATAAACTGCTGGTCCTCACATCTAAACTTACTAAACTAAATTGTGAAGTCTAGTGAATTCCCTACAAATGCCCCTCACTTCTAACCCTTAGAGGATGTGCATCTCGGTACCAATATAAACTCAATGTATCTGATTGATAGGATCAATACCTTTAATTCTAAAACGTATCTGAATGTTTTAATAATATTGTTTCAACATGGTTTTAAAATAAAGACTGACTCTCTCGCTGGAGTCTGAGAGAGGTACTCGGTCAGTCGAGGGTTGCTATGATATTACTTTGGCTGACAGAGTGATAAAGTACAACCAAATAAATTTGGTGTGTGTAGATATTATAATAAGTTTATTAACACATGACAACCCTCGGATAGGATGAAGAGGGTTAAAATTAATATTAAGAAATGTTACCTATCTTCAATGTCAATGCCATAACAGAGTTCACAAAACCTTTCTTTAATTGTTACGTTATAATGGCGGCCACATTAATTTTTAGGTGGTGGTGTCTTAACTGGAATCTGGTAAGAGTCTGTCGTAGAGCATTATTTTTTTTTAAACTATAGTCAGGTAACTTTTTAAATAGCCTGTAGATTTCCCCATAATTTTAATGTCAGTCACACGGGAATGCTTGGAAATTAACACAAACACAAAAGACTATGCATTACAAAACGCAGAGCCAATTGATACTATTTATATAAAATTGGAACCTATGTTTAAAATGTTATAATAGTGTCAAAGTGGCTACTATCTACTAAAAATACAACCATAATTTCCTTAAAAATTAAGCTGGTGACCCCCAAGTTTGTTTAAGTCAATATCCTTATAATGCCCTTATTTTTTGGAAAATTAATAAATTCTGGGTATTTGCATTCATGAGTAGGCTTCTATCTTTAATAATCCACAGGAATTTTACACGGGAAATTTATATAAAAATAATAATACCCACATTTACCTTTAGTGTTTGGAATTTTTTTTTTTATCAGTAGGTTTGCTTGCAAATTTTTTTTTTAGAAGTTCATCTTATCCAACATTTTTTTTCATTATCTTCAACGGAGGTAAAAAAGACTTGATATTTTACTGCTATTTTACGTTTTTTGACAAAGTGGCCTCCATTTTGACAAATTTGATCAAATCTCAAGACAAAACAG